TTTTGAAAATTTTGCCACGGGTGGTTTCCTTTACAATATGTATGGAGATCAATAGTAGAATTATCTACACCTAAATTCCCATAATTCCAAGATGTCATGTTTCTCAAATCAACAGTTATAAAAAAAATATCAAGAAAAAACAAAACAAAATAAAAGTTCAAACTTGAACCCTAACAATATATACAGCTACAACTACACCATTAGTTCCCCGGCAACGGCGCCAAAATTTGATCACGCCCAACTATGCCTTATAAAAAGGACAATGCGGTCGCTGCAAATATAATCCGGTTTACAAGTCCGGAGTCGAATCCCACAGAGAACTAAGGTTTAGCTACAGCTGTTCACTATCACCAAGAAGACAAGCTTGAACAATTCCTAACTTATAGATATTAAGATTCTTGTGTTTAACTAATTAACTAATAAATTAAAATAGTAAATTAACAACTAACGATACTGAGGGTTAGAGAAAAGATTAAGGAGGTCTAGAGTTATGATTTCCCCAATTGTCGGAATCCTTCCCGCTATGTCTTCTATAATTTCGCCTAAGTATTCTCTACCGATCATGAGCACTCTTATTACCGTAAATCTCTCCCGAGTAATTACGATAATTTACTAGGCGCACTCTCCCGAGCTACGCTAGCTGGCTTTTAATACAGCTCACTTCAGATCGCACCCACGCCTTTAAACCCTCGGTTATTGATCCCTCATATACTCTGGGAGTGGTGTTGTTCAACAATTACCTAAATATGCACTCTCTCCCGAGTTATGCATACTAAATATGCACAGCTAATTGAGAGCTCTTCAATCAACCAGAATATAAACGTAGTTGAACAAATAGAGAAAAGCTATGGCTCAATTATATAAAAACATAACAAGAATTTATCCTACAAAAGGTTCTATCAAACTCTAGATAACAAATTAGCTATTCATAATAGTATGTAAAACTACAATACTAAAAGTCATAACCAACAATGAAAAAAATAGGAAGAGGAAGGAAAAAACTCGTAGAAGAATTCTCCGCCTTGCTCCCAATGTGTTCTTGCCTCCAAGGGTGTTGTCTAATCCTAAAGTAGTGTCTCTCCGCCTCCTTAGGTCTAATTTGTGTCCAAAATATGTCCTCCTCTTGTTCTTGGCCGGCCTCCTTTGTTTAATATAGGGTTTAGGACTTAAAATCCCATATTTTGCACTTTAGTCCCTAAAATTTTCGCTTCCTGCCGCGGTTTTGCCGCGGTCGCGGTGGAACCGCGGCCAAACATGCCCTCTGATTCTTCAGTTGTCCGCGACCATCTTCTACCGCGGTTCTGCCACGGTCGCGGCAAAACCGTGATTTTTCACCCTGTTTCGTTTGGAATTTGGAAAAACGTAAAACATAAAAGTTGTAGCCCTTTGAGTTAGCTTTCCAACCATATACTGTGGAGCCCAAATGGAGTTCTGAGCAAAAAGTTATGTCTATTTTACTAGACAGTGCGCAATATGCCTCCTCAAGTCTTCGTTCGTACTTAATTATCAAATTTGACCCCCGAACACGATCCCGACTTAATTCCTTGAGCTTTTACTCAGACTTCAAAGCTTCAAATCACTTAAATTCATTCCATAAGATCTATATAGCTCGGAATCACACCTACAAGGCATAAAACACACAATTAGTGCAAAACACTAGCGATTAAAGCGCAAACTCAATTAAAGTGCAATAAATAGAGTATAATAAGCGACTAAAATATGCAATTATAGCCTATCATCATACACTCTGTGAATACTCATTAAAATTTTGAATTCGTCACAATATTTGCTGAGGTGCATGACTCATGGCAGGAAGTTAGTAGGTCGCTACTCTTAGCACGAATTTAATCACATATTTTTACATAAATTATAAGGAAAAAAAAGGAAATAAAATTGGACAAAAGTGATCGAATTGACCATTGATAGCACTTTTTGAATAAAAATTTATGCATTATCCAGAGCATCATTTTCTTTAGAATAATTTATTTGCCAAGTGGCAACTCTGTGGAATTCAAGCCAACTTGGCAAAAGCTTATTTGGCAAACTTCACTGCCATTGTAAGACAGTGTACAACACTTCCTAAATCTCATTTAAAAGTACAAGTGTAACAGCACACCTGATAAGTGAAGCAACGTCTCGAAATCTAAGCAGCATCAGCTCGTCATTAAAGTACATGTACGTGTATATGACGCTCGAAGTGAGCGCGTAAAGTACTCACAGTATAGTGGATAAGAATCCCTCTCTCTCTTTACCTCGTCAATGCTACAGTCTTAACTCCTCTCTCTCAAAAAAAACATACAAAATCCACAATTTCCTTCCTTGTTCCACCAGACAGAGACATATACATATACACACCTTAACCCCTTCAAAAAAAAAAAAAAAAAAAAAAGCTTCCACCATTTTCATCTCTCCGTTTCTGTTTATTGTTTTTCTCATATGGGTGCTAATTCATCTTCCATTTATACCAAATCTGATGATGGGTTGAATTTTGTTCCATTAAAATCCAAGCTTGATGATATACCAGAGGTTTGTATTGCTCTTGTACTCTCATACCTAGATCCACCTCAGATCTGCAAATTGGCACGTCTTAACAGGGTCTTTCGTGCTGCTTCATCTGCTGATTTTATTTGGGAACCTAAATTGCCCTCCAATTACAAGTATATTCTTCAAGAATTGTTCGGCCTGAAAGTTGCTGGCGTGGGTAAAAGGGACATATTTGCTAAGCTTTCTCGTCCTAGGTCCTTTGATGGTGGCACAAAGGTCTGTTCTTTGTAACATTTTTATGTTAAAAATGCCAACTTTGTTTTTGGTTTTTTTATGTAGTGTTATGTGAGTATGAGTTTTGAATTTTGGAGTTTGTTGATGACAGGAAGTATGGATTGATAAGAATAATGGAGGGGTTTGTTTGGCAATTTCATCTAAAGGAATGGCAATTACTGGTATTGATGATCGGCGATATTGGAATCACATTCCGACGGATGAATCAAGGTTGGTATTTTTTATGTGTTCTTTATTTTTTACTATTAAGGGCATGGTTATGCTGAAACTTAGTCATGAATGAAGCTTCAGTTTAGGTCGAAAAGAAACAAATAAATCTTCAGTTTAGCACGATTTTTGTTTTTGTTTTCAATAGGTAGAAAGGGGTAGGGGTGGGGGTGGGGGAAACAGGGATGATACATATGCGTTGCATTTGCAGGCTGATCCCCTTTGAATTTCAAGTGATTCTCACATAACATGAATGAAAATTCCTAAGAAGGCCACCAAATCTTTTACTAAATTTTCTTGTGGTGTTACTTTTTATTTGGAGCAAGTCTTTAGACATTGTCAGTGTAAATTAAACCTTTTTCATAGAATAATTTGCAAGTCCGTCCCAATTTGTAACCTCCAAATTTAGCAATACAATTAGAGGTTGATAGAAGACATAGGTATTGGCAGTTCTAACAAAAAGCATCTATGCAAGAACACTTCTTAAACCATCATCAGTCTAACTCCTCGCATAGGGGATTTTTCAAGTGATGTTGAGCCTGGTGATCTTGTTCCTAGTGTGTGAATCCTCATGATCTCATTCCTAATCAGCCGGAGGCAAGCGCAAAATAGAGCTAGCTAGCTAGCGCGTATAATGCTATTGTTCAGGGTGAGTAATGAACGAGACATCATGTAATGCTATTGCGGGGGTGGTGTGAAAGGTTTATGTTGTCTTTGGTAAAGCTTTACGCACAAAGTTGAGCTAGCTAACGCGTTGGCTTTGTAGATGTGTTAGGTTAGAGATTCGTTCCGAATGAATCATTCCATTCATTTTATACATTTCATGATCTGGTTGCATTTTTCCCTTGTCCAGCAATGTAGACCTTTTAAAGTTAATTTATACTTCCTCATATGTAATGAATTGGCTGATTGATACTGATATTCTCATTCTTCATGTAGATTCCAAACTGTAGCTTATCTTCAGCAAATCTGGTGGCTTGAAGTCGATGGGGACCTCGAGTTCCAATTCCCAGCAGGGGCATATAGCTTATTCTTCAGACTTAAGCTCGGCAAGGTTACAAAGAGGCACAATCGTCGAGTCTGTAACTACGAGCACGTTCACGGCTGGGACTTGAAACCTGTACAGTTTCAGTTAACAACAGCAGATGGTGATCGTGCCATATCCCGGTGTTACCTGAACAATGTAGGAAGTTGGGTACACCACCATGTGGGAGATTTTGTTGTTAAGGATGCCACTTTTCCAACAAAGATCAAATATTCATTGACACAGATAGATTGCACACATACAAAAGGTGGTCTGTGTGTTGATTCTGTGTTAATATACCCTAGTAGCTTAGCAAAACAATTGAGTTCTTGTTGATAGCTTTACAGCCAAAAATCTTCTTAGGTGGCCAGAATGTTTTTTTTTCCCTTCCTAGCTTGGGGGGGGGGGGGGGGAGGGGGTTAGTTTGTACTATATAGTTTGTTTTCTCCCCAAAAGTCCCTCCTGTTTTGCTAGTAATTTCAATTGGGTCCTCAAAGTTCAGGTTTTTGTACATTGGTCCAATAAATGAATATGGTAGTTGATTTTGAGTATATACTGATATTTTTCATTTTTTTTTTTTTTTTTTTTTTTCTTCGGTATTTACTCTTTGAATTTTCTCTTTTTGATGTTTTTGTATAGCTCTTATTCTTTGGGGTCATAGATTGGTTGGAAAATTTAAGAAAATTGAACAAGACATTTATGGGAGCTCCGCTCCATAAGAATTTGCTCCATTAGATGTCAATATAGCTTTGAATAATTAACACGTGTCCTTGTTAATTTTTAAAGGATGAGATTTTTTTATTTATTAATTCTCTATTATAATTATGATTAAGTTTCTATTGATAATATTGATAAATAAATAAAAATGTGTGAATGACCCCTTTTTTTTTTTGAAAGATGTGGGCTGAACCCGATGGAGGTTGCCTACGTATCTCACATCCGGTGAGAATCGAACCCGCGTAGTTCGGTAAAACTAAGTACCCTTTATTTTTATTTATTTTTTTTTGAAAAATTAATCTTTACAACTCACACCAGACTATATATATATATATATATATATATATACTTTTCTAGAAAAAGGTTTATTTGCACTAAACTAGGAGAATTATTACACTAATTTTTTTTTAAGACCGGTCGACATTGCAAGTAAGCCTTCCAAATGATGTATCAAGTAGCACATACATGAACATGATGGTCTCGAAGAGGATATCTGTCTTATACGGACCCGGCCCCTGTGCCGAGTTTCGCTAAGTCAAATGGACGTGATGCAAATAAAGCGAACCTACTAGGGATATCCGGCATGAGGTTTGTTCTTCTAGGTTTAAATCTTATTGGAGAAAGTATCTAGACTGGCTTACTCGAGCGGACAACTCGAGTCGAGGAGGGTCAGTATACCGGTAGCATTATTTTCCGGCTTAACTGGTGGTGCTCCCCGTCTAAAACATGTGTGACTAAAATCCTTCACCGGGTGACAAGCACCTCGGCTATCTCAAAGAAAGCGGGCTATGTCAAGCAAATGCCCAATTTTTAATTTCAAGAAGACTCAGAGGGGGTGCGTGAGAAGACAGTTTTTATGTACAGTTCAACAATTTCAAAGCGGTAAAAAGCAAATAAGTAGCACATTATGCCCAAATAAGTCACAGTATATACAAAATTAATAAAGCCAAATAAAAGTCAACATGTACAAGCTCGAATTCTAGTTGTTCCCCAGCGGAGTCGCCTGAGCTGTCACACCCCTTTTTTACTCCCCAAAAAATATGTATGTGTATGGATATTATGGTGGGTTAAAGAGTTTTTCCAATTGAAGTGACAAATTTGAGTAGGGATTATTTTATTTATAGAGTCGCCACTTGGAATTGGTTTTCGGTGTTCCAAGTCACCTTTTATTTGAATCCCTAGTCAAAGAAAAGTTTGACTCTATTTTTATTGGTCCGCGAAAACAAAGTTCGGGTAAGAAATTCTGTTGATCGGGGAGAAGGTATTAGGCATTCCCCGAGTCCCGTGGTTCTAGCACGGTCGCTTTATTGACTTAAAACTTGGCTTGAGCTAATTTTGGACAAACTGTGATTTATACGATTTTCATGTTTTACCTATCCGCTTTTATCTCTTGATTATTAGAAAAATAAATGTCATAATCACACTACGCAAATGTCATAATCACACTACGCAAACGAATGTGTGATCTAGACGAGATTTTATTGACTTAGTCATAACAGCACTATGCAAGCAAATCCGCAGTCATGACAAAGAATTATTAACACGCTATTACTTTGATAATTCATTACATTTAAGAAAGAAGAAAGAAAAAGAAAAATTAATGTTTGGAGTTTATTAAATGTCAATTGCCGCTGCTACGCAAGCAAATCTACAGTTATAAGCAGGGGATTAATTAAATTAAAAATTAACTAAAATTATTAGGTGTGGTATGAGATTATTGAATTAATTTATTGAAGGTTAAAACAACACGCTACGCAAGCGAAATCCGTGAATAAAAAAAAAAAAGTTAAAGCGCGCTTATTAGTTGCTCAGCGCTTAAATAAAATAAATAAGTTATCAAAAAGATTATTACTAAAGAAGTTCGCTTTATTGGATCTTATTGAAAGAAACCTGATTTTCTAATCAACTAGGCCGGCTAATGGTTATCTTAGAAAATGGGCCAGCTGATATACTCGATTGTTTTTACATGATATGGGCTTTATTAGAATGGACTGCTGAAAATTAATTGGCCCAACTCTCTTTTCCATTCCTAAATTCTAGTAACATGTTTAGCAAAAAGAAATAACTAAATAAACAAATGATCATATCTCTATCTTTTAATTGGATAATTAATACACTACTAAACTAAGAAAACTTCTAAATAATAAATAAATGAAAAACGAGCAGCCAACAAAATATAAAATAGTAATTATTTAGATTAATAAATTAAAATGCATGGATAGATCTCATTTTACTTAACAAATTATTACTACCCAACTCACCTGGTAAAAGAGAAAATGCATATTTACTCGCTAAGACTGTATACTTGATTAACCTATTGAAGTTAATTAAAATTGGAGACCAAATTAGTTCACTCCAGCACCCGAAAGTCGAACTTAATGAACTATGCCAAAATATATCAACCTTCAAACACCTCTTTTTGTATCATGCTTAACCTAACCAATTTAACTTGAACATTGATTATAAGAAATACTTAACAATAGTTCATGCTTAAAAAGACAAAGTAAAACTTGTCAAAAATATATTGGCTAGTCCATAATCTTTTCTATGACTAGACGAG